GTAGACGTGAGTATGTATGCGTGTGTGTCTGAGCGAATTGGAGTAACATGTGGAGAGCAAGGCAAGGGAGAGAGAGTGATAAACCCGGTGGTCATTCGATAAATTTCAGATCAGATCACATCAAAAAGAGCTAGATAGATAGAGAATGATACCGCAGGCAAGATGACGAAAGTTCATAAAATGAGCGAGAAAACATACAGATGAGATCGATGAATGTGTGTGGACGACACGTGGGAGATATCACTCCGAGGGAGGATCATATTGTATCCAATCAAACGAGTACAGTCCGTTCGGAAAGACCACGACGCAGATGACTGTGTAAAAAAACTTATCTAATGATTAGTTGATTGTCAAATGGGGTGCCTGAATAGTCGAGATATGGTCTCAAAGCGATCGCGTTGACACACAAAACACACGACACGGAAATGGAGGAAGAGAGACCGAAAACATGATGCACATTAAATAATGGAGAGAGAGAGAGAGCGAGGATAGATCAGGGACTCGGACGCCAACTTTGATCCAATCGTGTTCCATCACCCCAAAACCAAGTGGTGGACTTTGGAGAATGCGAGGTGGGTACTGTGGGTGGACTGGGATGGAGTAATTGGCACAGCCGGTCAATGCGGTCGGAGGCGGATCGAACAGAAACGGGAGATGGGCCGGTTTGGGTGACTGGGACAGAACTGGACACTATTGGGTGTGCGGACGCAGGCCGAGTCAAATGAGTAGCTGACTGGTAGACTGGAGAAGATGACGTCGGAGTGGTTTTGTGGGAGAACAGTAGCGGCCATTGGAACAGACCGGCCGCGTAGAGGGTGTTCGACGAGGAAGTGTTTAGAGGAACAGGCACATCGCAGGGATTTAGTTTATTGGATGAGGCGTTGGACGAGACCGAACTGGAGGAGGATGAGGAAGATGTGGTAGAGGAGGACGGTAAAGAGCCACAGGATGAGGACGCGGACGATGCGATTCCCGCACTTCCCGAGCGNTCCCGAGCGCCAACAATGTACGTGAACTGGGACTCGACCAGGGCGAGATAATGAATGGGAGGTGGTCAGAAGGGTGGAACAAGGTGAACGGGTGGTTGTCACAGTAGTTATCGTGCTCGGCACGCACATGACCGAAGCTGCATGGCTGGAAGTCAGACAAGTAGTGGAACTGCCCGCTGTAGTCACTGAGATCAACTGGCGACTCTCATTGGAAGACAATGAGTCGGATCGGGAGTAATATCCCGAACTGGAGCCAGACTCGTTAGAATGAAGACGCGGTTGTCCAGAGGCTGTTGAAGGGTCAGATAATGTGATCGGTGAGCTGCTGTGCACATACAATCGATCATTGGGTCGCTCGTTTGGTTCCAGTGATCGTATTGTGTTATGCATGGATGACTGACTAGAGGATTCACGCGAATGAATGACCTCGTCGGTGGACATTTTGCGATCTGCCAGCTCCGGGGAATGTGAAAACATCAACGGTCGAGGGGTGATTCCGTGGGCTGATTCAGAAGCAGACGTTAGTTGTATATGCGTGTGTGTTGTCGTTTGAGCAGGATCCGTCAATCCCGAATCGCCGTCTAAATCGAACACAGGACAAGTGAATTTGGGCACCTCGTCCAAAAATTCCAAATCACTGGCAGATGGAGGAGAGGAGGATATGGAGGACAGGGAGGATGCGAACAGGTTGCCAGCACCATGCGTGGAATGTAGGCAACGACTGACAGGAACACAAGCAGATTCAACACGGGTAGATGATGGACTGGATGGGAGAGGGTCGGTTGAATCGCCGGAACGCTTCTGCCCCAATGTCGTGGCCTCGTCAATAGCGAGAAGCGCTGTGAGTGTACTCGGTAGTTGTCCATCAGTTCGCGGTGGCCGATGCCGAACCATCCACGGGTGTTGGAGAATCTCCAAAAGAGTAGGCCGTTTTTCCGGATCCATACTCAGACAAATTCTGTAGTTGGAAACGAAAGGACTAAGGTAAGCATCGGAAACAAAATGGTTACGTGAACAATTAGTCCACGCATGAATATGTGCATACATTTGACATTAGGCGGATATTTTAAAAAATAGGCCGTCTTACCCAATTAAATCACGTGCCTCCTCGCTCAGATCATCGTTTCGATAACGCAATTTCCCGCCAACAATACCCTTGTCATTGACAAAGGGAATATCACCACAAAGCATATCATAAAGCAGAACACCGAGGGACCAGACTTCTGCTTGTTTGCCATGATAACAGCTATTCAGAATCCACTCCGGAGGACAGTAGACTCTGGTACCTGAACGGAGTAAAAAAGAGAACCGGTTATACGGGGGTGCCTGGGGGAGTTTAACACGAAACAGAAAACCAGATGGAATGTTTAACAAGCATAAGAGTGAGTTAAACAGACAGACAGACAGACCGATTGATCACGTACCATCAAAATCGGTGTACAATCGGGACTCGAGAAACGCGCCGGAGCCGAAATCGATCAGAACCAGTTCGTTTGTGGCACGATTGATGAGGATATTCTCATCTTTAATATCCCTATGAAGCACACCCACACGATGACAGGCCAAGAGGATGCCAGCCAACTGGTGGAAATAGTGTGCAGCCTCGCGTTCCGGCAATGTGCCACGTTCACCAATATAGTCGAACATGTCACATGTGGTCTCCGACACACGATCCATCACAATCACCCAGGTTTGACCCAAATTGAAAGCGTCCAAAAAGGGCACGATCCCGGGCAAACCTTGACACATTGTGAGTAGCACTACTTCGATTGGCATCAGTTGTGAATCGACCTGAAATTGGTGTATGAGAAAGATAGAAAAGCGGATGATTAGTAGGCGGAAGCGTTCTGTTCAATTAATTGCGAGTGAATCTGCAGTCTATTCTCTTACGCGTATAGTCTACTGTAGATATGTGTAGGATATGTGCCGTTTATGATTGTCCCCATCAGACCAACTTAGGGACGAGTGGGGTATTTGGTACCAGAAGCCTCCTTCCTGACTCGCGATGGCCACGTGGGAGCCTCGTGCAACTCTGCCCACACGCCCGTGTCCTTGTGTGTGTGTGCATGCGCGTGTGCGTACGTGTGATTTACTGGGGTTCATGTGTCGAACCGTAAGAGTACGCACGCATATCAGGACACAACGCGTGTATCACGTGCTCGCGTGCGGCCATGCTACTGCGAGTGGGAGAAGGGAATCACTCCAATCGAGTAGATGATGATGGATTGGAAGAACGACTATCACACACGCATGCACAGTCCGTTTTTAATGCTCCAATTTATTGCCATCGTTTGAGAGGAGACAAAGCGCTTCAGAGACACCGGAGCCTCAGAAATCACGTCAAAAGGCAAAACCGACTAGGATCGTTCCGTTTTTGGTTCACAAACCATGAATGTGCGAACTTTCATTATCATCATCGACAGTAGTTGTAGTAGTAGTTAGTGCTTCGAGTAGTAAACAGGGCATAATTACGCTTAGCATACCCACAAAAATGACTATTTCCTCTGACCAAATTCGTATCACAAACCGGACTAACGAATACAAGCATGGGCAGAAATGAGAACATACCTGACACCAACAAGGAACTTTGTCCGACCGTATCTCTTTCACGACCACCTCACGATTGTCACACAAACGTCGACCTCGATGCACATGTCCAAAACCACCTCCACCGAAGCGAGTGCCGAGGACATACCGTTGAAGAAAAGCAGCGTGGCCTTCGTGAATGACAATTTCTGTATGAGCGGACAGAAGGGGGATATTAGAATATGATAGTGAACCGTAATTGAATAGAGGAAAAACTTGGTGCAAACGACAGACAAGTTATACAGATTTAATCGGAATAAAAGTTGGTGGGTGTGCATAGTTCGGCAATAAACGATAATGTCACTGTCCGATTTGACGCCAGCTATGTTTGATGGATGCCTGGATGGACAGTCGAAATGAAGCTGATAGTCATCAGGTCAATTTTTCACACTTCCAAAGTCGTCTAGAACATCTATGATTTTGGGCGACTTGTACCTTAATGAGGATAAGTTAGCTTCATTGTTGAATTAATAAGAAACCTTTCGATCATAGGGCACAGTGAAATCCCCGGTACCACTTGGCGAATACAACACTAGCCTTCACACCAACAATTGTCACAACAACAGGGGAATAACGAAGGTCTTTGATGGCAGCCCAGATTTACATACGTCACGATACTTTCCATGGACATCTGTGCCTATCTGTTATTGTTGCAGAGGGATGGCTCGTAATTGAACACTGCCACCAATCGCCCCCAAACACTTATTCAGTCAAACAGTACTCGCCCATTTCTGGGTAACCATCGAATTGACCTTTCTCCTACCCGAAAAAGGATACGCGCCCGACAATGTACTGGTCGTAGAGTGTAATCTCCCGGCTGGATTACGACAAACAGCGATCCAAGCTCAAAATAGACTACACAAGGCCCCAATAGGATAAGTGTGGTATGCACGGGAACGAAGAAGCTACTTTCCACAAGTGTGAGTGACGGTCGAAATCACGGACAGTAGAAGCCAGAGCATGACAGTGATAGCAGAACGACCAGTTCGACTACCACTGCGACTCAAAGGTCCGTAACTCGTGTATGACCGTAAGGTGCACCGTCCGCGCTTTAGACTTTATTCATCTCGTTACAAATACAACGGTACATAAAATAGAAAAATTATTTCATGCCATTTTTCCTGGCGTGTAGAATTTTGATTTAGGGTATCCAGTTGACTTGTATCAAGTCGTCATCTGATGCTGCACTGTCGAATATGCCCGTATAGTTCTGTAACACTGGACAACCTACTCAACAGAACTAACCAAGCACTAGAACGCAACAGAGATCACGATGGATTAACCAGAAAGAGTGTACATACAAAAAACGGCGGTTACCAAGCAAAAAAAGCACCTGGCGGCATTTGAGAGTGGATCCGGTGAATGAACGGGGAAACTCAGTCCCCCTCTGTTTGTTTTGCATTCTTACATATAGGGTTGATGCGCGATGTTAGGCGTGAAGGAAATCAACAAGTCAGACTCGTATTCCACAGGGGGGGATTGATAACTGTGGGCAACCGGAATCCTTGTCCTCTCTCTCACACATCAGATTGTTCGGTTTTGGACTACGAATGGAGATCGACGTGTAAGCACAGCTCATTTTCTGTGGAACAACGACTAACTCGTCAGACGTTTCAAGAAGCCACTAAACAACTCAGTCCAGTAAAGAACAAACTAGTGAGTTATTTGCAAAAAATACTTGACTGGTTAATTTCTGCTCGAACAGACAGAGGACATAGAACCAACACACAAGACATATCTGGCCAAGTCGAGACAAGTATCTTGTTGAATGCATAGAGTGCAAAAGTCTCGGACTATAAATGACCGTTTTAATGAACACGGTAGTCTATAGATTCTACCAAACTGTACCCATCCCAATCTATGAGGCACGGATATACTGCGCGATCGAATACCATTACAAAAACGCTTTGAATAGTGCGGGTTTTCGCTAACGGTGGCAAGCCCCACGTACGACTGCTAATATGCACCCAACCACGTAAAAACAATGGGCAAGTACTCCTCAGATGTAGCGCATGTAGCAATGTGGTTTGTTGGTGCTTTTGCGTGTGTGGGTGGGTGGGGGGTCCAAACTTGATTATAATTTTGTTTTCAACGACATTTCATGGTACGTATTTAAATAATTCTTTTTCAGGTACTAAGAAGCCCAATAGCTATAAAAAATCCGGGATGACCGTCAACGAGAGGGTGCGTGATCTCATATCTCCATGCAACAACCTCTTGCGTGTCGATTTTTCGGCTTCTTGGATGCCCGTAAAGGAAGTTGTTCAGACGTTGGGATTTCCGAACTGTGACAGGTAGTTGTTGCGTCAATCGTACACTCCGACTGAGGACTTGGGTCACACATTAGGTTTCACTGTACGAGCATTGGTTGCTGTCATTCGAATGCTTTGAACCCTATGATCCGGGGTTCGAGTCCGCTCACCATCAATCAACTTCGGTGGCAGACAGCTTTGCTGTCATCCGGTTCACTGCTACACCTGATCCAGTGAGGTCTCATAAGGTTCGCCACTTCAAGCCTCGGGGCTTAGGTTCCCGGTTTCCATCAGTGAACAGAAGGCCTTGGTGACTGACTATGGAGTTCATCTTGTCTGCTGTTCATTACAGCGTAACTGATTCGCGACCTCACACACAGCGATGAATACCATAGTAGCGAAGAGTAACCGTTCGATTATGTTAGTGAACAGCCTCATTGTCGTTCACCTCCAAGCCAATCCAACCGAAGTGAGGCTTTATGCGGTACCCCACTCACGACTTAAGAAGTTAACCAGTGAACAATGTGCCCTCATAACTACAAGACTGATTTTGTCAGCTGTCCATCGTCATGAACAAAAGTACTGTGTAAAACACAATCCTACCCGGGTCCCGTGATTCATTTTCAACCGCAATTGGTTAACCAGATCAATCGAATCTGGAGAAGCGTGCTTTTTACCCGAAATGCAAGTTAGAATTCAGCTGATTCGAACTAAAATACTTTCTGAACTTGGACTAGCGCGCGCGCGGACGCATATGCCGAACCGTAATAAACTGAAATGTATGCAAGAGAGTAAGGGGTAACAAAATAAATGGGAACTCTGAGAGATTCTCTTCGCCCGAGTTGGGAAATGAATCCCCGTAGGACCTCAGACAGGCACACAAGACGAATTAGGACATCTATATGGCGAGATCAATGAAATCAACAGGAGAAACAGATCCGCACAACTGGCACAGATTAACATCAACTGACATGGACCATGGGAATTGATTCATCCGGGATCGAATGGACCGACTGTGCTTCTTTATTTCTATCTGACTCTAGTGGGGGAATACTTGCGCCCTCCGAGTCCCGATCCACTCAAATCTAAGACCACGAGCAGTTAATTTTCCAGATCAGCGTATGGAACCAAATCACCAAAACATTAGTAAAATCGGACAATTCTTATATTGCTAGATGAACTATGTCACAGGCGTGCTTTGGACCCTACGGTCCGAGGTTCAAGCCCCACCACCGCCTGTGCTGTGCTGTCATCATCATCATCATCATCGTACACGTGCTATGCTGTCGTCCGGTTCAATACCACATCTAACCTATCGGTTATTCACCAATCCAAGTCCCGTTGCTTCGATTATCGGTTACCATCACCGGACAGCAGGTACTCGTAACTATGGGGCTTTCCCCAAGTGCTGTCCATCGCAAGAAAGTGTATTTAAAAAAATGAAAAGGCACAAAACTAACTAAATTCAATAAAAAGTTTGAGCACGGAGTCAGACATAAAGTACAATTTCTCAAATTAAAGATTAAACCAGAGCAGTATAAAACTCAGTCATATTTTTCTGTTGGACTCAACCTGGAAACATATTAAAAACTCAGACGAGCCCCGAAGGCCCCAGCAATCTGAATGTTGTCTATCGTAATCAGCACTCAAATTGTGAAATCAGACACTTAGGATGAAAAATCAGGCTTGTACAATTAGTACATGTTAATTACATCACATAATAACGCACTCCACGACCTGTCAATCGCGTAATTGGTGGTAATCAGAAGAAAATGTTTGACGCATGTGTGCATAAACTTACGCAGTCCTAGTTCTTGAGAGCTCCGTCTGATAAGACGTCCATTAGGAGGGAGTTGAATATTTGATCGTGCACTGGAGTATTGGGTTGCAACTTGAGCCATATTTACTGCATGAATATCACGTGTTATGTGAATAGATTAATAAATTTCCCAGCAATTCGAAGTTGTATGGTCCAAAATGAGTTAGTATAATATCCAAGACGTAGCACAGGAGTGCAAGCTAGCTGATAAACATAATATATGATCCAGAAGTAGAAAACAACAGCTGCAGTCTTAACGGGTGATAACCTGATGATAGTGACCTCAAGGAACACAACAACCGAACAGAGGCCGAAGTCGCCGTCCTAATGTTAGAAAGTCGCCGATGCGTTTCGTTTAAAAACGTGGCCGAACGCACTTCGCACCGTGTGCTGATTCGACCAATCAGCATCAAACAAACATCTGTTGCTCTACTCTGATTGGTCAGATTTCTACAATCCTTGACCTGTCCTAATGTTATCACAAATAACCAATCAAAACACAGCGACGCTGTTCGCACCTATCGCGTTGTGGAAACCCAACGTATAACAATGCAGGCACAAGTCACGCGGATCTGATATTCACGGGTGAAGACGCACACATGCGGTGCGGTCGTGCGTGCGTATGTAGATCCTTGTGTTGGCTCGGGACAACTGTCCCGACTCATCGAGTCCCTCTTGTAACTTTATGAGGTCAATGTAGCTCAGGTCAAATAAACTCACCAAAGCGCGCGCGTTCTTACGATGTCTCCTGCCCGCTAGGTGTCCTGGACTGGAAAACGGCAGACTGGGAAACCCATTCACGTGATTGAACCATACTGGCGACCTTGAATCGGGTCAACGACATAGGCAAGACAGACGGGGAGAACCCAGCGTGGTGGCCGTGAACCTTTTGCAGGTCAGGACACGGTGATTCACGCACTATAGTGCTTTAGTTACGCCTGATAAATTATGCGTATTTCAGGTTAAATGACCTCGAGTAATGCTAAAATTATCTCAACGATGCTGCACTCTTTATCGCCGAAAGATATGCAGTGGTTCGCACTAAACAAAATGTATTGCCGCAAAACTTACAATTGCACCGTTTTTGATAAATAGCTTTTATTTTTGAAAGGATATGATATTTCGTCATTTCGGAAATAAGGAAACCAACTGTTCGTCAAGTTACTCAGATAATTAAAAAAAAATATTATTCGTTATATTTGAGACCACGTAGTTGAATAAAAAAAATATTTCAAAACTTTGCAACTTCTTATGACAGCAATGAGAAAACGAGTCGGTGAACGAATAAATGTTTTCGGAAATATTTGTTTTTTATTCTGATTTAACAGATTGTGAAATATGTCCTTGAAAAATATTTGTTATAATTCTGTTGCATACTAAAATCGATTTACGCATTTTCTTTGTGTTTTATTCATTGAGGCCATTGAACCAGTGAGAAGTCATATTCGTCTGATTGTTTACAACCAATTCACTGGTGACGGAAGTTACCATAAATGCCATTATACAGTAAGAGTTTAAGCAGCTGATTAGATGCTATTATTAGCGAGACTCCAAGTGTTGTTATGGCAACGGTAAAGATTACACACAAACGGCACACACAATTTGCCAGCTGATCATTATACTGTCTCCATTCGCGACAAGTGTAAAGTAAATACGGTCATAGTTTGTAATGATTTTGGTCACATGTATAGTAGTCTGGTTCAAAATAGAAGTTTCACTACTGCCTCGGGAGGGAACTGAATTGATCAAGCCCAATGAAAAAATCATAGTAATCTCTGGTCTGATCCACGCTGACTGTATTTTACACGTCATCATCATTTGCTAAAATGTCACATGATAAGATGTTTTCCGATATTGGTATGACTGAAATATAATTAGTGTTGAATAGATTGTGTCTGATTGAACTATGACTGTATTGGGCGAAATGATCAATAGTTTAGTGAATAGATGATGCATTTTTGGCTCGAAATTCTGCATTCCTGACATCGTGGATGATCCAATTGGATTCGGTAAGAAACATCGGTGTTGATTAGAATAGATAAAAACAACAGTGCCTGTTCCGTTAGTTTCTTCTTCGTCTCTTCCATTTCCCAGTGACGGTTACTTTTCCACGACGCTGGTGATGATTTCATTAACCCTGGAAACGCGATGTGCTATGGGGATAGAATTCGACATGAATTCGAGATTTTTCCCATCGACAAAAATGCTTGCGAGAATTCACAGACCCATTATTCATTTGTCCAAAAAGCATCAACCTAATGGAACAAACTACCGAAATTGCTCGTCTCAATCGCAATGTCATTTGGCAACGATTCAAAATACGGTGTAGCAATTCATGACTGAAACGTATGTACAACTTTTCACTCTAGGTGGAGAATCTCGTAGCCAGTCAAACGGAAGAATGAATGAGTCGTGAACGGAATTTGGGCGGTGGTGGCCCAGTGGTAAAGGTCACTAAATTGTCACTCCGGAGTATGGGTGTTCGAATCCCACCACCATTGCTTGACTTGTTCACTCACTCTCTCTCGCGCACTGTATTGTATATCAGCCCTCTGATTGTCCGTTTCTCCCTTACTGAAAATTATAGCAGTATGTATTCAAGTAAAAGGAAGTAAACTAAAAGAGAAGTGACTTGTCGGAACCTTATCCTTGTAACGAAGATTTTGTACTAAATGCAGAACACTAGAGCTCTTGTTCACAAAACATTACGCAAAGGTAAAAAGCATCGAGCTAATCAGGTGGGTGGTTGAGAGTGATATGACCGAAGACTAACCTACAGCGAGAGACTCACATGAGGTGATATTTTATGCACAAAGACTATACAATAAAAAAATTTCATCAACTGGTTCACCTGGGAGGAGTTTGAGGTCTTTTTTAAAGAACCTGAAAAAGTATAGTTTAGATCATAATAGACGATAATACTGTTTTGCTCGAGTCAAGTTACCTCAGTTTACTAATTGGAACGGTTACATAGTGCAAGTAGCTTTACAGTACAAGTGTATTGCGGTTCTTGGGTTCAGTCATTTATCAATGATGAGA